GAAGAAGAGAAAAAAAATGAAGGATTGTTGAAACACGTTAACTTCTCGTTTCCGACTGCTTGGATATTGTGGATTGGATCGAAAGTGTAGCAAATAAACTTCTTTGCTTCAGTTATTTGTCCATCTTATATCAACTTCTGTGTTCTAATATCGCTTGCTGAAACAGATGGAGGTTTAGTTTTTATAGCTGTTTAATTTGAAAAATAATTGTATTTACTCATAAACATAAGACAGTACATGTATCAAAATTGCAACATATGTCTTTTTGTGTTAAATGTCGTAATATCTCAAAAGACAACGATTAATACTGGTTTTTTAATTTTATTTTAAACATGTTAATTCTTGTCGATGTTTCATGAAAGATTTGAACAGGTAGAGTCGCTTACATCGAAATCGACTAAACAGAACGAGTAATGGTGCGTGTGATACAGAAAAGCAAGGTTTTAAATAGAGTCCCTAAATGAATTAGTTGAATCAAAGATGGTTCTTAAAAAAAAACTCATATTTGTTATGTCGAAATCATACGCCATGTTCGATAGTTCCACTAATTGCAGGATACCAAAATTTATCCTTGCTTTAACAATTTTGTAAAATTTTATCCGAAATGATTCTTCTATACGTTCGAAAACTGTAAATCAGATCAGTTCTATTATATTGACCTATTCATGGTGACATGAGTATTGCTTTTTCATAATTTGTCAAAGGTTTCATCTCTTTATTCGTACCAACTGTAGTACTTTAAAACAACTTTTATCAACATCTTTTTTACCAACATAAGCTATGAATATTCCTTTATTAGCGATACAAGAATCAATCTCTTTGGTCAAAGTATGGCAGAGATGTTCAATTTTGTCTGCAATAAATGAGCTTTTGGGCCACCCTTTAGTGAGACCTACCGGTGGGCTTCATCGCCTTGAAAGTGTTAAAAGATAGAGTCTGGATAAGTCAAAGAGTCATGTAGAATTCTTCTGCTTACATGAATTTTAAAATGGAACCAAAAATTTTTCGTGCTTTTAAACGAATAAGACATCTATTGGACGATACTCAACTTTATTGTTTCGACTTGCTTTCAAATATTTGTACCTTTGCAAATTGAGGGTGTACGTGCGGGATTGTCTCTTGTCTCTTTTTGCACCTACATTTAGATCCACACTCACGCTCTTTTACTTTAAAGTAATATGTGATTGCGAAGTTATCAGTAAAATAATCAACAATTCGCCTTGTAAGAAAGCGCTGGTACCGATGTGTTCGACTGTTAAATATCTTAGATGATTTTGTGATTTTCATAGGATCTTTCAAATAAGATTTTTCTATTAGACATGCCTAAACTTCAAATAATTAAAAAAGGAAAATTTCACTTCTCGTTCTTACAAATTCAACATGTTCTGATATTTTTCACTATAAAAAAAATGAATTTACTCATGACTTATGTTCAAAAAAATAAAGATTCGTGCAGTTTAGATGAAATACGCTTCGATTAATGAATATAAACAATTTTCATCCATTGAAATGTTGATTAAATACACAACAATTTATTAACTATTCAATCATAAAAGTGTATTTTAGGGTAAAAAGAAGAGAATTTAAATTGATCAACGCATTTTACTAAATAGATAAAAAGAAAGAAAAATGGTGGAATAATTCAATAATGCGTGATTTCTATTAAGCGAGACATTATTCTTTAAAAGAATAAAATAACTTTTATTATTGATGAAGAAGCATTTATGGAACATCGATAATATATATTAAAAGGTCGTTAGTTACATTTTCAATTGATTTCATATCTGGCAAATTCAACATCAACTAGTGGTTTTCATATTGCAAACTTTCCAGTTTCCTTTCTTCTTATTGATCTTTAGAATACAATTTTTCGTTTTCTTTTCAATTTCTACTCATCACACTTTTTCTGCATATCATTTCAAAATATTCATCGTATAAATATTCAAAACAAAGAAAACTTCATAATGGTAACATCGAATGCAAACAAAAATAACTATCTTAAAGTTTTGACGATTGTTGCGTTTACGTAGAGACGTTCAAAACACATCGGATAAAGCTTAGAACAAAAATTAAATATAGTTTTTACTTTATGTACACCAATATAGTTGTATTGACATCAACTGCATTGTTAATTAAGCATTTGATTTTAGTATAAGGTCTAGTTATACTCTCTAGTCACTTAATTCAAAACTGGCATGTATTTTCTTACTAGTGACTCATTATAAAATCAAATCAAATTATGCGATTCTGTATGCCTTTTAGTTCATTTCGGGTGCTGAAGATTGCTTAACTGCATTAGACTTGATCTAATATTTATAATGAACATTTATTTTAGATTAAGCTTTGATTCGGCTCAGCTAACAATTTATGACATTTATTAGATTACAAAAGGTGACTACCTATAGGTATTGGTAGAACACAAAGCAACTTGCTATCTACACTCAAATACATAGTTCATACCTACACCATCATGTTTGTTGCATCATTAATACTTTTATCGTATTAAAACTATGTTGCTCACAGTCAGCATATTAAAGATTCTATTATCACAAAAGGGCAATAATAATAATATTGGATTTGATTTATGAAAGGTCAGTATCGCTTAAAGAAAAAAACAAGTCTCCAGCCACTCAACGGAAAATGAATGAGGCATTTTCATCATATCGTAAATCAAAAAAACTATACTGCATGAATAGAATTGATTGAAATACAAAGATTGGTATGCCCTATTTGATAATGTTAAACACTTTTACATTTATCTTGATGGTAGAGCAACCTTTATGTTTCTCTTTGCGTCCACTGATTGTAGACAGACAAGATAAATAAAAAGCTCATGAATCAAGTTTGAGAATATTTCACTTTGTATACCTTGTTTTTTGACAATTTATCGCCACAGAGTTAAATAAAACATTCTAGATACAATTTCTTCCTTTAAGGAACAAAAAAAACCATAAAAATTTAATGATGGGAGTCTTGAAATAAGAAAATGACACTTTTTTATTATTATTCTTTGTTCCATATCAGTCGAGATTGTAATTTCAAGGTTATATGAGTCTTCATCTCTTTAGAAGCACGTATTCTATCGAATATCTTGCTTCTGAATCGTTTTTACATTGTCACATTGACATCTTTAGAATATATACCAACTACGTAACACATTATTTGAATGACTAGATCACTTATTCATATGTTGAAATGTAAATTTTTGCATTCTATTTCTCTTCATTTGTATTTTTTTCCATCTTCGCTTGATGGATCGTCACTCAATCAATTATTCTTAGTATGACAGTATTGTTTCCCTCTTTCATTCATAGTTATTTGCATTCACATCCACACTCTATTTGGTTTAGAAAAAGGAGAATGATTATGATTAGAAAACATGTATAGGAACTCATCAGAAGTCGTATTGACTTATCTTCAGACATTTTCTTCTGAGGCAAATCGAAAAAATATTTCAGAAGGATTTCAAGTTTTGGCAACTATTTGTAGAATCATGAGTAAAAGATTTAAAATTAGATTACAATAAATACTCGATAGATTTTAACCAGCCTCAAATAGTTATTAGTTATAGTTCGAGTTCTTGTTAAAAAAAAGTTGTCGTCTTGGAGCATAAATAGGTACTATAGAACGCCATTTTATTGTCAGAGTGACATGAATGTCTTTCTAGGTTTCTAAGGACAAACAGACAAAGTATCCAATAAATGTAATTGTTTTTATTTTTGTGTTCTATTTGTTGAAAGTTTTGTTAGTGAATACATCGTTGTCATTGCATGCTATGACGAAAATATTGAAGGATAGAAAAGTCTTTAGAGAAAGGAAGTCATCGACGAGTAGTAGTGACAATAGCATGTTTTTTATCGTTTAAATTTTGTCCAAAAACTCGTACTATACTATGTCACTGTAATCATGCATCTTTTTTTTTCTAGAAAAGTGTTTCTAACTAACAAGAAAAAAAGAAAGCAACGGTGATACTATACTTTATACGTCGATTCTATTTTGTTTTTCCTGTTTCAGATAGCAATTCTTATCAACCAAAAAGATAAGAGAAAGCAATATAACTACGAAATTCTCGACGATATCGAATCTGTAGTCATTTCTTTATTTCATACATATTTAATTCAGTATTTTGTGAAACACGATCTGAAAGGAGTGTTAAAGTATATAAGGTAGAAATTTGTATCTTCTCCTTCACAAATCGTGATAGAGAAACTCACTGCCCATCAGAGACCATAGCAGACCTATTAATAGACGATTTACGATTTGATATATCTAGAATCTCAAGTACATATAAACTGCTGCTCTACTGTAGTTCTAAGGGATTAAGTAAAAAGTGATGAATAAATAGATCCTTACGTTAACAACTTTTTTTACATTACAAGTGGTATTTTAGATTGTATTAAAAAATCGAATAGAATATCGATGGACTCGTTTGATCAGGATGAGAAAAATGCTAAACCAAATGCGTATCAAATATCTAAAAAGCTATTTTGGTTTATTTTATCCTTGATCGTAATTGGTCTCGTTGTTTTACTTGTATTGACTATTTATTTTGGTGTTCGTTCACAGAAAACGACTATTGTGTACTATGAAACCACGTCATTATCTACAAGCACTCGTAATTCAAATGAAACAACAACATCAATTAAAACAACAACTACAATACGTCCTAGTCGACCTGTAAAGCGAATACCAATGAATTTGAAACCAGAATTGTATCAGTGGACTATTACTCCCAATTTGATTCAAGAAAAGTTCGTAGGTAAATATTTTTTTCGTGAAAAGTCATTTCAGGTGAAAAAGAAAAAACATACATTGACAATAATTTTCGTAACGAAATAGAAACTATTGATTATTTTTTCAACGTCGAGTCATGGATGCGTGTGTTTTTTGCGAATCGAGTGATAGACTCCCTCATTATTTGCCTTCTTTCATTTACAATTTTAGGCGATCTATTCTACACATTTACGTGTCTGGAATCAACAAAAGAATTAATTCTTCATATGGTCGACTTGAATATAGATAATTCAACTATAGCTATTGTCAATTCATCAGCGAGTTCGATACCCATCTTTGATTCATGGTACTACGATGGTCATAATCAATTCATGAAAATCAATTTTTTGTCCAATTTTCAACCAACAATGATCTACACATTTCATATTGTTTATTCGGCTAGTATTGATCGTGATCTTGAAGGTATCTATTTAAGTGACTATGTTGATGTTAACGGTATCAGTCGAACATTTATAACCTCTCAAATGGAGCCAACCTATGCCCGAAGTGCGCTTCCATGCATTGATGAACCTGCTCGTAAGGCTATATTCCGTATCATTGTTAACCATGACCCTTCGTATGTTGTATGGACGAATACAGAATTAGAACGTTTGGATACATTGAGTAATGGCCGAATTAGTGCTTATTTTGCTCCCACATTAAACATGTCAACATTTCTGTTGGCTTTGATTGTAGCACCTAAAATAGATTTTGCTTGTCGACCCGATCGCGTTATTAGTAGTTCGAAGAATATTACTTCGAGAATATGTGGACGTATACCAATTTTGCCACAAATGACATATGCTGACAATGTAGCGCTCAAGGCAGTAAATTTTTTCAATCAATATTTCGATATAGATTATGCGCTACCTAAAATTGATCATTTTGCCGTACCTGATTTCGAAGGTGGTGCTATGGAAAACTATGGTAAATATTTTTATTTCATATAAAATACTACAGAAACATGAATTAAATATAACTAAGTATTTATTATTATTTAATTTCAGGTTTATTGATCTACAGGGAGATTGGTTTGTTTTTCGATGAGAAAACAGGATCCACTTCGCAACAACAATATGTAACTCTGCTTATAGCCCATGAAGTAGCACATCAATGGTTTGGTAATTTGGTGTCACCTGCATGGTGGGGAGAGCTGTAAGTCATGTGCTTTGCAATAATTCTTCGGTTATTAGCCATTATGCATACCTATTACATATATAGGTGGCTGAAAGAAGGTTTTGCTAATTATATGGAATCACTAGCGACTGATTTTATTGAACCTTCATGGAAACAAGACGAACTATTTGTTATTGAAAAAGTTTTTTCGTCCATGAAAGCTGATTCATTGCCAACATCGCGACCGATTAGTATTGAAATAAATAATCTAGCTGATATATTTCTCATGTATGATCGAATAACTTATGATAAAGGATCATCACTCATTAGAATGATGAAGATGTTTTTAGGTGCTGAAACTTTTCAACGAGGTATTAGAAATTATCTGAAAGATTTCAGCTATAGTTCAGCAACACAACAGGATCTTTGGCGATATTTAAGTGCAGCTATAAATAATACAATCGATGTCGAACTTATTATGGATGGATGGACACATCAAGCAGGCTATCCTATTGTTGAAATTAATCGAATATATAAAAAAATTGATCAAAATTTACAACAACAAAGAGTCTCTAGTGAATTAATTGTTACTCAACAGCCATTTAATCTTTTTCCATCAACACCAACACCGAAGATATGGTGGATTCCGTTCAAATATTTAGATCGAACATCACTCGAGGTATTTGATTGTTGAAACGTTGTGCCCAATTTTATTTTTCTTTTCTTAGCTTTCAAAAGAAAATCCAATTGAATGGCTTAACAGTACATCGATACGTTTATCAATCACAACTTCCGACTCAGATTGGATCATAGCAAATCCTGATTATTTTGGCCTCTATCGAGTTAAATATGATCCAAAGAATTTCAATCTAATTTTAGCTCAACTTCAAACAGAACATACACGTATTCCAAATATTAATCGAGGTGCTCTTATTGATGATACATTTGCTATATCACGCACATTTTTAATTAATGCAGCCGATGCCTATAGATTAATTGGTTATCTTAAAAATGAAAATGATTTCGTTCCATGGACAGCAGCATTTTCGGCAATGAAACAACAAGAATATTTATTGGGTGATAATGAAATTTTTTCTGAAGTACAACGTTATTTTCTTAATTTGATTTTGCCATTATACAATAGTATAGGTTGGGCAACAATCAACCAAACAACAGATTGGCGTCGAGCATTAATTCAACCAGAAGTTCTTTCAGCTGCTTGTTCTTATGGTTATCGTGATTGTATAGATATAGCAAGAAGCCTGTTTCGTCGATGGTATTTAAATCCTTCGCAAAATGAAATACCGGTTAGTTTACGCTCGATTGTCTATTGTATTTCGGTTCACCAAGGTTCTCATGAAGAATTTCAATTTTTATGGAAACGTCTAGAACATGAACTAACACCGAGTGCAACAAGGGCTCTACTCGATGGAGTTGCTTGTACAAGAGATCGATCACAAATCGTTTGGTTTCTTAATCAACATTTGATAAACGAATCTATAATTCGTGAACAAGATATGACACATTCTATTGGTAATGTAGCTCGTTCACGAGATGGTTATCAAATTGCTTGGATATGGATTCAAGAAAATTGGTCTAAATTATTTGCAAGATGGGGAAAGAGTTATTCTGGTTTAGAAAGTATTATCGACGATGTAACTAATCGATTTGTAACTGTCCGACAACAAAATGAATTTAAAGCCTTTGCTGATTTAATCATTGATAAAGGTACAAATTTAATCGCTTTTCTTTTAACTATTTCCAATATAGAATCAACTATTTATTCTGTTTTTTAAGGTACTGTCTATCGTCAATTTCAACTTTCACAAGATAAAATCAATGCAGCTATCACTTGGAACACGGCAAATATCGCATCAATAACTGCATTTCTTCGATCGTTAGTTGATTCGTCTACTCCCATTCGATATTCCTCTTCATTATGATCTGTACGTAAAGCTATATTTGAACGTTACGGATACTTTAACAATATATAACAACATGCAATATAATAACATGAAAGAGAAAAGAAAAAAATGTGTCAAGTTTATGGCTCATTTGTCTCAAGATTGATAGTTTCGAACGATTGTAACTGAGTTGCTCGTATTTTGAAGTTTTCGAAATATTTCAGTTCATGCTGAATAACTTCCTAGGATACGATTTATTGGCTGTTGAAAGCATTGATTTTCTCGTATGTGCTGTTTATTTTCATGTTTTTCGTAG